CGGCAGGCGTGTGCGGCGAGGGAGTCAACTCGGCGTTGTTATCGGAGCGTTCGGTATCCATGGGTTCGGGTTTAGAAGTCGCGTCGACAGCCTTTGGGGCACTGGCGGTAGCTGTGGTAGTGGTAGTATGTCCAGTGCCGGAGGAAGCAGTCACCGTAGTTGTGGTGTTGGTCGTACCTATTGTTTGCATGAGGAATTGTGAAAGAAAGTTAGGGTTTAGCAGCTAGTAGAGTATGCTAAAAGCTGTTGGGACACCAGATTCGGTATCTGATGGCTACACCCGAAATTTAGTGACTGTTAAGTATCAATAATTTCATTGTTCTAGATGCTATAAGAGCAAGTCACCATGTTTATACTAGTAGATAAACTCGAGCACGTACGAGCCTACGTATTTCACTGACCCAAGTGTGATGCTCTCGGTGATTATAGCGTTAACTTTATTGAAGTCATCGCTCTGCTGTCATGGGTGCGAATCCCACCGAGTCTTTCACAATCGAGTCAAATGAAGGATAAGAATGTCCCGATAAATATAGTCCCTAGAGCTTATGTCAACAAGACTTAATGAACAAAAGGAATGAAAAACTATGAAAACAGATCTCGTAGGGTATACTAGAGGTTAGAGTCTACTTAAAGAAATCATTCAAAATACAGAGAAAGCCTGTAGCTATCGCTTATTAAATGTTAAACGCAAAATACAAAAGCAAAATCGGCCTCATTAAGTCTTGAACAGACCGAACCGACGACCCGTGAAGAGTCAAGATCCAAGTGCAGCATTTTCTACATACCTCCTCCTACGACAGGGCGCGCGAGTAGAACGCCGTCTAAGTAAGACAGGTGGCCTGGAGATAAAGTCCAGGAAGGGTCGTATTCCCGTGTCTCAATCCTAACAACAACTTTAGCAGTAACCACAATCCTACCCTTAATCTCAACTACAACCCTAAGTCCCCTGGAAATTAGCGCACAACAGCTTGCATTACGGGCGGTTCCAGATCCCAGGTCCTACCGGGAGGGTAAGATAAGAAACCTCTAGGGAAAACTGTAAGGGCCGTTGGAATTGCCGGCAAAGATAAGGGAGACTGGAATGCCCAGTTCGGGCTTATTAGCTATCGTCAGCCAGTCATACACAAACCCCAAGTGGTGCACCA